GTACCATATAAGGCCATATTTTGAGGGTATATATCCCCTTACATAGGCCTGAAAAATAAGCCATATATATGGTAGGTACCTCCAATCAATCGGTTCCTGAATCATGGCCATTGAAATGATGCTTGGATGATGATAAGCAATTTTACAAATTTATAACTTGCTTAAAAAAAATGTTGGCTAATATAGGTTAATGATGGTTACTGGCTGATACATTAATGGGCAATGATGGTTGATAGTGGTTAATCAATGATGGTTAATGATGGTTACTGATGGTTAATGTCACTGGATTGGTTTAAGGGAAAATCTACAGGAAACCATGGTTTTTACCATCAAATATAGGGTTTTCCTGCAAATTTCCCATAATTGAATTCTATGATAATGATGGTTGATGTGCTTAAAACACTGTCATAAACCACCCATGACTGGGGGTGCACTGGATCCCATCGCCCAGGACTTCCCAAATGTCACGGGTGTTGCCACCAGATTGGGCAGTTGGGAATCCTAAAGATGGTCGTGTCCATCCTGGGAAAAGTATGTGTGGAAGTGCACTTCCAGTTAAAAGTGGATATATCACTATCTGGTTGGTGGTTTGGATCATTTTGTTTTTTTCCATATATTGGGAAGAATCATCCCAACTGACGAACTCATATTTTTCAGAGGGGTAGGTTGAAACCACCAACCAGCTATAGTTCTGGGAAAAGTATGAGATTCACACAGCAGATTGAACCATAAAATTGTGGCATTCAAACATCAAGAATGGGGATTTGAGCCTTTTTTAGAATGGACTATGGCACGCATGTTTTGACAGTCCAGGGGAGAGCACAGACAATTTCCAACCGGGGATTGTGAGGTACGGGTTGTTCATCATCCTGCCAAAAAAAACGCTGTGAACATTTGTGTGGAGGATGGCATTCAAAGTTGGATATGGCTGTTTCTTAAAATGGGGGATCTCCAAAACCATGGCTTTCAATTCTAAAATGGTTTAACTTTTGATGACTTGGGTACCACTTTTTCGTGTTTTCAACATGTTCCACTTAAATTCACCTGCAAAAATGTGGAATCGCGTCGAGCAGATGGAACCCACTTGGTTGCAAGTCGAAACCTTGCTACCCTGGAGAACCCCAAAATAGCTGGAACATGGATCTTGCAAATGGATGTTCATTCCCCCAAATATGGTTTTTCGTATAGCAGGTTTTGACCCAACTCCATTTGAAGTAGATGGCAATGACTTAGCACCATACATACTGATCCATATAAATATATATACACTGTATATCTACATATATGAATCGTTTTGGGCAGAAGTGCCTCAGCACCAATCCTTACATGGGAGCACGAGCGTCGCCACGTGACGTCACAGGGTTTCACTGATCCAGAGGTTGGTTTTATCACTGCTTGGTGGTTTGGAACCATGGAATTTTGAATGACTTTCCATCATAGATGGGAATATATAATCATCCCAACTGACGAGCTCATATTTTTCAGAGGGGTTGAAACCACCAACCAGCATTGGTTTTATCATGATTATCATGTCTATCACCCATAATTGTGTGTAAATCACCAAACTTCCAAAATCTGTTGAAGGGAAAATATGCAGGACACCCTCAAATATGTTCATGTGTAAAATCCTGTAAACAAGTATGGTGTCCTGTATAGCAACTTCAAAAAATAGGAAAACAGACTCCTACCAAAATAATTTAGTGCCAAATAGATTTGGCATGATTTATCGTTTACTTTAGTACACTCTGATTTTCGGGTTTCCTAAAATATGGGTACCCCCAAATCATCCACAATTAGACCATTTTAGTATTGAAACCTATGGTGACTGGGGTACTCCCATTTTACCCCCCATTTGTCCATCTTATTGGGTGGGTTTCCTACAGGATGGGGCCCCCCAGTGATGTGAACGTTGGTTTATAAACCATGAAATAACACCTATGAACTAGTTCGTTATATCTACCATAAACATCCATAAACCATAACTGGTTGTTGGTTTGGAACATGTTTTATTTTCCCATCATATTGGGAATGTCATCATCCCAATTGACGGACTCCATCATTTTTCAGAGGGGTAGGTATGCCACCTACCAGATAGTTATTTGCGTATCATAAACCATAGTTATTGGAGTTATGAACCAACTTAGATAGATTTTTGGTATATTGATGGATGGGTTTGACCAAAAGTACCAACCAGATAAACTTCAGCCACTTTTCTGACGGCAACTGAACGCGAGCTCGACTGGGCCCCATCCAGTGAGGTTATGGCGCCTGGCTCTGGCAAAATGCCGCAGGACGGAAACGCAGAACCGCAGAACGGGCGGCAGGGGCCAAATTTGGAGGACAAACGGGACCAAAATGGGTTTTATGTTGACAAGTACAATTACTGGTTGGTGGTTTGGAACATGTTTTATGACTTCCCATATATTGGGAATAGTAACCCCAACATTATTCAGAGGGGTTGAAACCACCAACCAGATAATATGTTTATATATATATATACACATATTATAAAATTATATATATACATATATGTATGTATATAAGAACGTATTTGGATATGCAAGATACTAATATAATTCCATATATACTTAGTTTGCATAATTCATCTCTGGATATGTATAATTAGTATGATATTAATCTGGAATCATCTGGATAAACTTGATCCTCACGTGGCGTCACTGGAATGATGATTTGGATTCGGGGAATCATCCCCAAATGGCCGCAAGTTTTAGGTATGTTCAGGTTAGTCAGTTCATACAATTCAGCCAGATATGTATGTACTATATATATATATACAATACGAGTGACAAGTGATAACTATAATATGGCTGCTGAAATTGGTGATGTTTCATAATGGGTATACCATAAGAAACTTGCAGTTAGCAATTGCGTATAGAAGTCCGGTTAGAGATTCCACCAGTCATGTAAGATATAAAGGTGTTTAACCACTTACGAGAAAGCCCCCCAATTGAGAAGTGTTCAAAAGCCTTGTAGACTAATGATTACAACGGATGATACTACTGTACCCAATATATTTAGGAATTGGGAAATCTTATTGACCAATGAGTAGAAAGGGACAACAGAGGGTTTAAACACTGCTCGAGTGGGTTTGTCTGAAAATGAGATATATGACATACCCCTCAAGCTCCAATTTGAATATGCTTTGTTTTCAGACAGACCCAACTAGGGGGTACCAGATACTACCATTTATGGTCATTTAGATAATAGGGAAGATTATGATCAATCATCAAATTTGGTAGTTTCCCCATCATTTTCAAACACTGGGATGGAAGTAGGTGTGTTCAGGTGCGAAACCAGCACAGGGAAATCAAGATTTGCTCGTGAATCCAGGAATAACCACGCATTCCCAAATGGAGGTTACCTGAAATAGGGGTACCCCCAGTCATCATCCAGCTATTTGTTTGGGGATTTTCCATGAACTAAAGCATCCAGCGAGCTTAGGGTACTCCCATGACTATGGCAACCCTCATATATTGACCCCATGATTTCCTATGATTTTCCTATGGTTTTCCCATGATTTTCCCCAGGTTTTTTTAGGAACCCCCTAATTTTTGGCCCTAAATCATACAAGCTATGCTCAATGTTGCACGGCACTAGGAAGACAAGACATGGGAGGTCGATGATCCTGTTGACCCTGCTTGTTGAGATGTCATGAGTGCCATGGTTAAATGATTACATGTATATATATATATGATAATGTATATATAATATCATATAATATCATTTAATATAATATAATACAATATAATATCATTTAATATAATTTCATATCATATAATATCATATAATATAATATAAAACAATATCATATAATATAATATAATATAATATCATATCATATAATATCATATAATATCATTTAATATAATATCATATCATATAAGATCATAATATAATATAATATAATATCATATAATATAGTAAAATATCATTTAATATCACATAATTTAATATAATATAATATAATACAATATCATATCATTTAATATAATATCATATTACGGCCAGGCGCCTTGTGTTGCCCGGAGATTTACAGGGACGTTCCCGGCAAATTTCATGATGATGATAGTTATGATGATGATGATGATGATGATTGAATATCTTCAATGAATGTAGAAGCGTAACGGGGGTGGGAATTTTCACCCTTATTGAAGATCTTCAACGAATGTAAGAGTTTAAGGGGGGTGGGAGAATTAAACCCTTATTGAAGAATCTTCAATGAATGTAGAAGTGTAACGGGGTGGGAGAATTTATATGAGATGTATAGTGTGAACAAAAAATCCTTGTAATTTACGCTATTCTGGGCTTGGGCAACACAAGGTGCCTGTGGGTAATATCATATAATATTATATTATATCTTATGTAATATATATACATATATCATATAACAAACAAATATATATATATATATACCTGTAATGGGGGACCATTTTAATATGTATATAAGCTGAGTTACCTATACATATATATATATATATTTATTTACTGTGTGCATATATATATATATATATTTATATATAGGTAACTCAGCTATAATGCTATACATGGGCCATTTTCCATAGCCGTTAAATGACCGGAGGGTGTCTCGATAGCGAGAATTGCAGAAAGATGCACTTAAGCCGCTAGGGTAAAAGATTCGTCTTGTTGCTTGCTGAATATGTAATGAATATGTCGTACCCTATAAAGAATGGAGTTGTTTCCAACGATAATTAATCTCTTGAGCATTGAAGCATGGAAGCTTGGAAAACCCTCTCTTGGTAAATTAGAAAGCAGATCATTACAGAAAGGTATCCCCAAGACATAAGAAGGTTTACAACCACTCCTAACCATAGATATGTTTGTAAATGCGCTTAAACCAAACACCTTACTTCGCCTAGCTATATATAAACCAACTTATCTATCTTTTGGCAGGGAGGCCCAAAACCAGAGGTTTTCCATGGCCCCTTGGAACCATTTGATTCGTCCCATCCGCGAAGTTATCTCCTCTCAAGCTTCGTCGCTTTGCCAAAACAACCTGACGTCTTCGTCGTCGACCTATTCCGAGAGGACATGGGGCAATGGTCGGACATGGGGCATGGCATTTTTAGGGCGGTGCAAAGTGATGAGTCTGTTGGCGAAGTTTTTACTGTTCGGTAATGAAACATTTCAAGTGGAAATCCCCTTTAAAATGGAGGATGTAACGGGAAAACCATCTATAGATAAGGGAGGTAACATTTTTTCTGGTAGATTTATCTACTGTTGGAGGGGTTGAGCACAGAACCAAGTCATAAGTGGGCCAGGTACTTTTGTACCTGAAACTTGGAAAGGTACCTCACAAACATCGGGACTGTCTATTGACGGCCAAAACCGGCTGCTCCAACTATGATGGTGAATATTGGTTCTTTCAACTTCTGAATGCGGTCATATTATCCGTAATAAGTTTCTGGAAACACAAAGAGCAAAAACACGTGATGGCAACTACAATGTGGGGCCCCCTAGATAGCTAAGTTGATTTATAACTCCAATAACTATGGTTTATGATACTTGTAACCATAGATTAGTGGGGGCTATAAACCAATTTGTAACTGGGGGGGCCCCACATTGTACAGTTACAGCCCCATCTATCGTGTTGTTTAACATGGATAGACTACAGGCCACAACTCATAACTGGACCAGACCAACTTGCCCCACTTGCAACTGTGGTTATAATGAACTTCCTAATCTTAGTAAAGTAACAATAAGCCACCCATATGTTGATAGTTTATACCACCCTTTTTCTGGTAAAATTGTGGATAGTTTATTATTGCTTCGCTAACACTAGTTAGGATGAAAAACATGAAGAACCAAGCACCATACATTTCCTATACATTAAACCCAAGTTGAAACCCCGGAGGGTTGGGAACAATGGTTGGATTAGATCCCCTGAACTTTCTCGCGACTTTCGAGAATCAAAGGTTGGATTGAGAGGGCGAACCTCGATTTAGTATGTGGGAAAAAACAACCTATTATACCATTTGGGTATGATGTTAATGATGGTTACTAATAGTTTGGTTGATGGTTCATGTGGGTAAAACAATGCCATTTTTACCATCCATGACTCGGAATGGATAAAACACCACCTATAAAAATGTTGATGACTGGGGAATCCGATGGTTTATTCTTGTTTTACCTGCATTACTCAGGGGTTGGTAAATGTCCCATTTTGGGAATATTGGACATCACCTTATAGTAGCCATGGCATTGACCATATACCATTCAGTTGGGTGATGTGAAAAAAGGGGACATTTAATGACCCATGTTACTCCTAAAGGATCTGAATGAGAAAAAATGTTTGGCAATCCATGGAAACATATGAAAACATTGCGTCACCGGCTAAACTTTTTTTATTGGTTCATCCTTGGGCATGATGACGGCAACACCCTTGCTCCGGAAGCAACAGATTGAAAGATCCTAAAAATCCAGCATCTACCTCTCGATTTTTTTGAGTTGTCAGCTGGTGTGTTGAAGTCTGCAAAAAAACATATGTCTCAAAATGTCTAACAGAAAAGCACCAGCTATTTCAGGATCAGAAATAGACCAAAACCATGGCCGACCACCATGATGAGTCATTCTTTGATTTGAAACCATCAAATCCAATTATGGTCCAGCTTGGTTGTTCAAAACGGTGTTGTTTCCAAAAAGAATTATCGCTTCTTCGCACACCAATGAAAAATCAAACCTCATTATTTTTGTTTGACATTGAATTATTATGTGACTTGAAAGTCCATGAAAGTTCCCAAATTCGACTCATATATAATCATATGAGTATATAATCGTATACATATACATATTATATATACATATTATACATACATATTATATATACATATTATATATATATACATATTATATATACATATTATATTTATACATATTATATGTATATTATATATATACATATACATATACATATATATATATGTATTTAACAAACAAAGCACAAGTCCACTTTTCCCCTGGGATAGGCCTGGCGGCGCGACCCATTGACCCATATTGACCCATGGCGATGGCCAGGATGTTTCTCATCAACTACATGGAGACCATGGCCTTTGCGATGCTGGCTTATGATGCTTACAAGGTTGGGATCCCTGAAAATGGCGAAACATCGCTAAGTTTGTTGGTGAAGATACCCGGCCGGGTAAACGTTTACAGTTTGCGAACTGGAAAATGGGCCATTAAAATAGTTGATTTAGCCATGAAAAATTGTGATTTTGCATAGTTATGTTAGTTTACCAGAGGGTAACTGGTGAATTCTTTGATTTATAACTCACCTATGGTGAAGTCAAATAACTTACCGTGAAGATAACCTTACCTTTCATAACTTATGGTGAAGATAACTGGGAATATAACTCCACTATTCACAGGGGCCTTGAGGATAAGTGAGAAACAAGGGGCATACTGCCTCCGACAGTTATGTTCGACGTGGGATGGTTCTCCAGTCGGACTTCCCTCGACCAAAGTTGCGATCCAATTTGGGCCCCCTTTGTTTCAAGTCTCGTTTTTTGGGGGTTATCCATAGAAGATGACCCCTCCCTATCTTGGATGGGTAGAAACTAACCCAAACTAGTCTTTTGGTACTGTATGGGATTATCTCCGACACCAGCTAAGTTTTTTTGCAGGGTGTCTAAGATTGGCCATGATCCCTGATGTTTGTTGCTTTATAAACCCCTCTAAGTATAGGTACAACTGCTGTAAGCAATAGTCAAGCTAGTTGGATACCTTGTAGTATGTTTTTTAAAATCCAAAAAGCACATGGGTGATACCGTCTGGTGATCTATCTTAACGATGGAAAACCTTGCGCAATCTTTGTTCATGTTTTTTTCAAATGGTATTCATCATGTACGCTATCATCGAAGATAGGATAGGGGTGGGCCCCCATGTATGTTTCATGGTGTTTCACCATGGGATTGGCTAGATTCATGTGAAGCTAAAGGAAACTGCGATTAGACATGACTAGAATTAATGACTATGATGCCTTTTATTGGACTGATTCAAATTATGTGAGATTTACTTGAATTACTATAAATTACATTGTTGAAGCGAAGGTACATATACTACAAAAGATATAATACATTAAAATACTATATATAAATTGATATCAATTGTACATGTCAGTTTTATTTGTTGTAGAAAATGAGTAGAAACATTTGTTTATTCGGGGTCACAAAGGGGATTTCACTCCGCGTTGCCGCAGGGCCGCACTAAGCATATCTCGTTGCAAACATGCTGCTTGGTGAGGAAAAAAGTGGATTGAACTGGGAAAAGCTCAGCAAAGTATCTATTACTCATTGGGAAATTGGTGATATAATGGGAATATGGGGATACAATGGAATAACTCATGGGTGATTGGATGTTAATGGGACGTTCATGGGATTTTAATGTGATGTTATAGGATTCAATGGGATTTTATAAGAGAAGTTTAATAACATCGGATATTTTTGATGGGATGTTATGGGGACCTTATAGTGATTTTAAAGGAATATAATGGCATTAATTCGTTGACCAAGAAATATGGTGATACAATGGGAATTTATAATGGAATAGTTCCCAAAACCATCATGGTAATAATCAACCATCATGCGAATATACCCTCTGGTAATTTAGCATAGCTATTGAACATAGCCATTTATAGTTGATTTTCCTTTAAAAAAATGTGATTTTCCATAGTTATGTTAGTTTACCAGAGGGTAATGGGACATGAAAAAAGGGATATACTTGTCACCGTCAGAGAGATTTGACCAAGACATGGTATGGGGACATTGGGGGGATAGAATGGAGATATACCAAACCAACTACCCTCTGGTGAACTAACATAGCAATGGAAAATCACCATTTTTAATGGGAAAATCCACTATAAATGGCCATTTTCAATTGCTATGTTAGTTCACCAGAGGGTATATAGATTACATGCTGGTTGGTGGTTTGGAACATTTTTTCCATATATTGGGAATAGTAATTCCAGCTGACTAATATTTTTCAGAGGGGTAGGTATACCACCAACCAGCATGACATGGGATATAATCAAACATGGCAATGGATATCATGAGAATATTCTTGAATATCACGGGAATATATACATATATATATATATTCATTGCTATAATATGCCATGATATTATTTGTTGTTATATATATATAACTAACCAACAATATCCATAATATAAAACTAATGGTATTGTTGATATATAGAACTAGCAATGGATATTATTCAGTTATATAACTAACTAACCTGCTATAATTTGATGGTTACCCTCTGGTAAGATGGGAACAGCAAATCCACTATTTCTCACAGGCGATCCGCCTTGGTTTGATTGCCAGATCATCTTCTGGTTGGGGCTTTAAAAGGACAAACGCATCAAAAACTGGTTTTGGTGGTTTGGAACAGGACTTCGATTTTTCCATATAGTGGGAATAACAAGCCCAACTGACTCAGATTTTTTCAGTGGGTTTGAAACCACCAACCAGATCGAAAAAAAATGGTAGTTCAAGATTCAACTCGGAACTTTCTTGGACTCATTGTGCTTCCGATTTGAATCTTGGACTGCTTCTGGTTGGTGCTTTGGAACATGAATGAATTATGACTTTCCGTTCAGTTGGGAATGTCATCATCCCAACTGACTTTCACTCCATCATTTTTCCAGGATAGGGTAGGTTGAAACCACCAAAAAGTATTTCATTGGGGTTTAATGAAAACAAAAAATCATCGGAAAAAAATGGTAGTTCAGGATTCAAATCGGAACTTTAGGGTTCATGGAGCAGGTAACATTCTTGGACTCCAAAAAGAAACCTTCCCAACAAGCCCAGCACAATGGTAACGCCCCGGATTAGGCCACTCCGAAGGGGATGGAAACATAGCAGCAAAGCCATGAGATTCAAAAAAAAATGTATAGATAAATATATAATTATATATATTTTTTGACTCTATAAATTTGTAGAGCAATATGTTTTTATTTTCATATCCTTTCCAGGCAATGATCTTCCGTCAACTTTTGGGATCATCGCTTCGCAGATGTTGGATGTTCAAAAATATCCCCAATTCTTCATCATTTGATACAATGGGAATTTAGAATGGAATAGATCCCCAAACCATCATGGGAATAATCAACCATGGGAATATACCATCTGGTAAACGTTAACAAAAAGCTATTGAACATGGCCATAGAAATAGTGGATTTACCATTAATAGCATTGTGATTTTCCATAGCAAACTGTAAACGTTTACCAGAAGGTAATATAAATGCCTGGATAACTATCTCAAATCCAATGATCTAAGACTGGCCATTGTTTGCTTTAGGCCTTTTCCGCGTGTCTCATTAAACCTCCTGCGTTCCTTAATTTGTTGCGGGTGTTCACATTCCATTTTTCTGCCATTTGGGCCATTTGGGTTGGCCGAGTTAGCCATCACATGTTCATACGCTCAGCCATAAACTTATTCTTTCTCCATCCAGGATGATGTTCGTTATGTTCTTTTGGATGCTTTTAAAGCAAGCAAACAAATGGCATGGTGGATATTCCTTTGTAGGCCATTTCCTCGGCAAACAATTGATGTTCCACATCTATGGGTTTGTCTGAAGAGAGGAGAACTCCCAGATTAATCATTATGTGTCCTATCAATATGGTGATGGTTTGGTACATGTGTTCGGCAAACTGGATTAATATCATAGCAAGTTGCTTCAGTCATATCCCAATTACCTTCCTACTGTGGATGGTTGCGAAATCCTGCACCACCAAACGGATGGTTGAAACCCTATAAATAATGGGATAAACCATCTATCAACTGGTGCAGGATTTCGCAACCATCCACAGTAGTATGATTAGTTTTGTACATTATCTTTGATGGCAAATTCCCCCAGGGTCCACGCATCGCCTCGACCCTGGGTCCCGCAATGTGGCGCCCCCCACTTTTAAGTCTACAAACACTATCAACTATAGATATACGAACTACAAACCCAACCATCAGTTGATTATTGAAATACACCAGCTTACCATAGCCATAGTAGCCATATTCTAGTTTTCCAGGATACCTCCACATGTCCCATGCATAAAATGATACAGTAACTCTAACACATACGAACATTAACAATGAGAAATTCAGGATCCTAAAATGGAGGTACTATACCATATAAGGCCATATTTTGTGGGGATATTCCCTTACATAGGCCTGAAAAATAGGCCTTATATATGGTAGGTACCTCCAATCAATCGGTTCCTGAGTCATGGCCATTGAATTAACACATTTTAGAGTCGTGGGTAGTGAACTACTGTACTACCACTGTGGTATTATCTCATTACATGCTCATGATTTAGCCATGATATATCATATCATCATATCATTCTATCCCAATTTTTATATTATCCCATTGGGACATCCATATATCCTGATATAGTGAACAAAATTCACAATTCTACAGTCCATGTATCTATTTTATATATAGATATAACATACAGCATATCCTGATTTTAGCATGACATATCATTAACTAAAAAATCTCATACAGTATATCGTAGCTTCTATTCCCATAACATCTCCATAGCATTCCCACTACTGGTTATGTAACATACGGAAGCCGTGGCAGCCATGGCCCATGCCTACCTGAAATTACAACAGAGGCTTACATTAAAACTAACACCTCCATTTAGATCCATTTAGTACTGGAATTTTCTTAGTTGCCTTGTTTGATAACACCAGATGGTATATCCCCCTTTTTTATATTCCCATGAATTTTCTATTATACTTGATAAATCCTCATTATATTCCAGTATATTTTCATTATATCACGATATTTCTTGGTCAACCATCTAATTAATCCCATTAAATCCCTTTAAAAGCATTATAAGGTCCCTATAACATCCCATCAAAAATCCCCGATGTTGTTAAACTTAAACTTCTGTTAAACAATCCCATTGGAATCCTATAAAAAAAACTCATTAGAATCACATTAAAATCCACATAAATCCTGTAAAATCACATAAAATCCCATGAACATCTCATTAAAATCCCTACATCTCCGGAGGTCCCTTTTAAGTGACCTCCGTTTGCCAAAGGCCTCGCCCTGACGTTGTCGTTGGTCCTGGGCGCCTTCAACCTCCCGCGCGCTTGGTATCGTCCCTCGTATGTCGAGTGTGTTTGCAGGATCTGGGAGTGAACATGTAGAAACAATATACATATATTTATATTATATTAATATAATATTAATATTAATATTTTATTATATTAAATTATAATATATCATAATATATTATAATATATTATAATATTTTATAATATATTATGATATATTATATTATATTATAATATATTACTATTAATATTAAAATTAATATCCATATTATATTATATTATATTATATTATATTATATTATATTATATTATATATTATAATTATATTATATATTATATTATATTATATTATATCATATTATATTATATTATATTATAGTTATAGTTTTTTTAAATATTATATATATATAATTATGTATAATATATATATGTTATATATATATATGGTTAGTAGGGGGAATCATCCCAGCCTTAAATTCAGGTTAGTGGATCATGGTAATTCATTCAGAGATATGATTGATGTACAACACTCTGGTGCTCAAATGGGTACGCACAAACCATAGTGGATGTAATGATTCATGGGAATAGAATGGGACATATATGGAAATATAAGAAACCATTGTACCGGGATATAATGGGATGTATAAGCAATAATAAGACATTTGGGTTCCGCCCAGCCATTAAACCATGGGAATGTGATGATTAAATGTGGTTTTGGATCTATTTTCAGTCAACCCCAAATATAGCAAGGACAAATTCCACTTTTGGTTGGGAAAATCATCTAAGGTATTTATGAGAGGTTTCGGTTCAACATCCCATTTGATATACATGTATAGATGAACCAATTTGATCTCCGTTTGATATTTATTGTCATTTGACATCCTTTTGATATCCATGTGATTTGCTATTCCGGGTGATTTTTATCATCATTCAAACCCATATGCTCCATGTATGGAATATTTACCAACATTTACCCTAAAAATCACCCAGTTTTGTAGGAAAATATACCAGCACCATGGTTCGCATATGGGATTTGCTGCTTCAATTTGAAGTCTTTGGTTATTTGGTTGGACTATCAGAGGATGACCGTCACGCACGCAGAGCTGCAAAAAGAGACACTCTCGGACTGCTGTAAGGTGGATTGGTCGAGTTCAGATTGAAATAGGTCCGAAATCGGTGATTCTTCATTCCCAGATGCTCCATGGTGCTGGAATATGCACACCTACATTTGTGCCAGTACCCCTTAAAAATGGCACAAATGTAGGTGTGCATATTCCAGCACCATGGTTCGCATCTGGGATTTGGTGGTTTGTTGATGTTCGTTTCAGGAATTCTAAGTGGCTTGTTACTTCAGGTTGATTGCAGGGTAAGTATACGATTAGTTCAATTCTAGGCGCGGGGAATGGATCCACAAACGCCAGGCTTTTGGGTACTTAAGACGAAGCCGTTAACAGCTGCATTTACACCATGCAAAATCCAATTCCACTACGATTCATGATCAAGAACCCAATCAAGTAATGGCCTTGTTTGTCAGCATCACGTTTATACCACGATATCAATATACTTCTACAGATCATATATATATATACACACATCTGGTTGGTGATTTGGAACATGATGACTTCCATATATTGGGAATGTCATAATCCCTTCTGACTTTCACTCCATCATTTTTCAGAGGGGTAGGTCAACCACCAACCAGACGAACTCATCTGTCGTGTGACGCATGATGCCAATCCGAGGTAAAATTCACAAGTTGATCCTTGCCACTGGGACACAAAAAGGGGTGAGCCCCGTGGGCTACTCTTTTTTCACCCCCAACATTCATTTTTGATGGCGTAAGCCACAACAGGAGGGTGAGGTTTCATGATTGTCTAATGGATGATTTGGATTGATTTGGTTGTGTTGCTTAGTTGTTTGTTTGATTCGTGTCATTTTGGTCGTTTCACATATTTTGGATGTATGTTGGTTCCAGCCTCGCTTCGAAATAATTCCATTTGACACAGAAATATTTCAGGTTGAAGCCACCATCCGCTTTTTCATTGCCCCACATCCATGGTTGAACCCCAGATAGCGGAGATTTTGGGTGCTTCAGGTTTGCCAAAATCTAGCATGGAATCCCTCAAACATGCACTTTAAAAGATTCACGCAGAAACATAAGCGTTTGGATCTGAAGCTTTTGGAACAGAAAAGATGCTTATTAATGATGCTACTCATTTCCATTTGTTCATTGGGGTTTTAGATATTGACCGATGCACAAGACAGAATTCTTCTGATGCTGAATTATGTTTATCTTTGGCTCATAATTGGCGTATAAAATTAACCATAATGGAAATAGAACATGGGATATGATATGATATAATGGTTTTGTTGGGAACACCTCATCATCCCACAGGTCCTCATTATACTTGGGCGGCAACCAGCTCCATTTCCATCCGTGGTTCAATGCACCTTTAGGACTTATTACCGTCCTGGCAATCAACGTGTCAATGGACAATCCACCATTTGATGATTTTCTCAGCTAGAAACTTCCATGGCTACGTTTGATTCATCACCAGAGGGTATCCCTTTCTGTTTTGCATCAAGTGGTGGACCATTCTCACATTTTCTTTGTTGTTGCTCCGCCACGTGATGCACAGAACCGTTATTGCCGGTTCTGTGGCCACTCTTACATACAAGGTGGCCTCGTCCTGCCTCGTCCAAGTGCAGGTCGGTTTCTAGTTCCTGTCATATAGTTTTAACATGTTTTAACTATAAACACTAGAGTCACTAGAGAACCTAGTTATAACATGTTATAACCCAACTTAGCTAACTGGGGCTCCCCACGTTGTAGCATGCTGTAAGCTCGCAACGCTTTTTTTTCGCCTCAGGTCTTTGCTGGTTGCTGCTTTGGTTCATTGGCCTGCTGGGGCGTTTCCAAAGACACTGAGGCGGAGGGAGAGGACTGCGACCAAAAATGAACGGGCAGCGCCTCGATTAAAGTGGTGAAATAATCAAGGCAGTGAGTTGTGCCGTTTGGGAAGGGAGGGGAGAAGAGAGGAAATGATTGAAAAGTAGCCGGGACTCACCATACTGTGGAAGTGATAGGCTTCTGCAGGCACAGCTTTGGCGTGGCTTTGGATTGAGGTTTCTTACCTAATTGCATGGTTGAGACAACTAAAAGAAACCCTAACCCCCCACCCCCCCGTCCAGGGTCCCGGGGGAAATCTACAATGTGGGGCCCCCGTTCGATAGCTAAGTCGGTGAACATAACTCCAATAACTATGGTCTATGGTACGCAAATAAATATAGTATTCATGGGGTTTATAAACCAACTTACAACTGCGGGGGCCCACATTGTAATATAGTCTAATCATTGAATATGAACATTGAATATTCCCCCAACATTGACTATTCCCTTTATCGAACAGTGAATATTCAATTACAACAATCATAAACCACCCATTTGGGAATGGTGTATACCAGCTATTTATGGTGATGGCTGGGCATGGTTATGGCATTGTTTTACCCACATTGCTCCTCATTGGCCATCTCTTGTTCCATATTTTTCCAAGGAATATTCGACTTGTTCCAAGGAAAATTCATGACTTGGTATATTCACCCACATTATTCCCTTTTAGGGAAGAGTGAATATTCAATCCATGACTTGGGGTCTCCATCGATGATATGATCATGCCATCGGATTTCACCAGTGAGGTATTCACCGGGCCCCAAAACCTTGGTATCCTTGGCTGAGTTGAATGTTGCTTCCGTTACAAGGTGGTGCCCCAGTTCGTGAATGCTAAGTTAGGGTTCACATAACTCCAATTTAACTATGGTTTATGGTAGATATATCTATACTATTCCTATGGTTTTTGTTCACCAACGTTCACATCACTGGGGAGGCACCATCCTCTTCAGGATCCTGAAGGTATGGGCCCCCGTTGATTTTTGGGGCCCATTTGATTTTATGATGGATCCGTCCTTTAAAGGGGGGGGGCGCGAATTTCGTATTGATGTTGGACAGGGCTTGGTAACTGTCCCATTTTGGGAATATTGGACATCACCTTATAGTAGCCATTATAGACCATATACCTAATGGTTGGGTGATGTTCAATGGGGACATTTAATGACCCATGTTGGATTTCACTAATACATTCCTGGTTGGTGGTTTGGAACACTTTGTTTTAATGAATTTCCCATATATTGGGAACAATAATCCCATTTGACGAACTCATATTTTTCAGAGGGGTAGGTATACCACCAACCAGATAGTTATAAGTATCATAAACATAAACCATGGTTATTGGAGTTATGAACCAACTTAGCTATAGACAATGGGGGTTATGAAACCACCACTTCCTTTTATGGCCAAACATATAAAATGATGTTTCCCATTAAGACCTCCATTACTCCATGGCTAGGCCACAGAAATTTCCCAGCCACGTTTTTCCACGTTTTCGGGTGGAGTGGGTTTTCCGCCAGGACAATCTGACGATTCCTGGAGTGCCACCCCGTGCCTCCCAAGCGGCAACTTACACGAAGAGGGAGGACACATAAATAGCTGGTAATGTATGTTGTCATGTATAGTAAAGTATAGTGTAGTATTGTATAGGAATATTTTTTTGTAACGTATAGCAAATCATAGTAACGTATAGTATAGTAATGTATGGTAATGTATAGAAATTTATAGTAATGTATAGTATAGTATAGTAATGCAAAATAAAGTAATGTAAAATAAAGTATAGTATAACATCGCATAATATTATAGCAACCCCCAAGAAGTGGATTTTCCCATTAAACATGGTGATTTTCCATAGTTGTGTTAGTTTACCAGAGGGTACTGAACATCATAGGAAACTTATAGGAACATATGGGAAAATCTACTAGACAAGGAGGTTTTCGATGGAAAAAATATCGAAATATTGCTGGTGGATTTGCCTGCAAATGGAGCTGATTACCAGTGATGGGATTCAATTGGGATATAACCAACAATATGTATGGTCTTTAGTATTGTTATAATATTCACTGGTATTTATTATATTATACCAAAATAAATATTCAATTGGGATTTAACCACAATATTTATACCAACAAATGGAGCTAATTTAGTATTAATCCCATGACCCTAGTATTAAACACCCCATAAATATTTAGTCCCAACTATGTGGGAAAAAATCCTACATCCACCATGGTTTCGTGGCCACGGGGGGTGTTTTTAACACATAATGGGCCCCCGTGGCCACGAAATAGCTAAGTTGGTGCAAATAACTCAAATAACTATGGTTTATGATACGCAAATGACTATAGTTAATGAGGATTAATGAGGTTTACCAATTGTATGGTATATAGCTATAGTTAATGATACGCAAATGACTATAGTTTTCATGGGGTTAATAAACCAATTTCCATGGCGAACTGTTAGGTTAAATAGCCAGAGGGTATATGAAATTATCAAAATCAAGCCTCAATGCAAACATTGGAAAATATGTTGATATCTAAACATATTAAAAAAAAAAAAACTACCTGATAATACAAGATGTTTGGAATTGATATCTATATCAACTACTAAAAATCTAGACTACAACATGTGGACTTATGGAAATACCCCGAGGTCATCTACGTGTCTGCGCTGATCATGGGCCTCCTGTCCCTTCTGGTGGCCTGCCGTTGCTCGGCGCGCCGCGGGAATGCGTGTGGTTTAGCCACTGGTGAACATACAAAAAGAATGGATTGGTTTAAGGGAAAATCTACAGGAAACCATGGTTTTTACCATCAAATATAGGTCTTTCCTGTAAATTTTCCCATCATCCAATTCTATGGGTGTGTCTGAAAATAGTGTACCCCTAAACCCAATGGTTTTGCTGATCATTATCCCTATTAAATGGCTATTTGTTTGGGAATATACCCTATTTTCAGACAAACCCAAATTGGGCTGGAACCTGTCATATACAGGTGGTGCCAGATAGTTAACTAAGTTGGTGCCAATAAGTCCAATAACTATCTGATTGGTGGTTTCAAACATGAATGGATTATTTCCCATTTCATATGTGGGATGTCATCCTTCCCATTGACTTTCACTCATATTTTTCAAGATGGTGAAATTGCACCACCAAGCAGGTGATTATTAACCATCATCAACCATATAATAACCATTAATATTAACCATTATCAACAGTATATTAACCACATATTAACCATATATTATGATTTTTTTTATGTGAATTGGGAAGTCAACGAACTTGATATAGTCCATTTTCCACTTCGCAAACTGTAAACGTTTACCAGAGGGTAAGTGGACTAAATGTTGAATTCGTTGGCTATCATTAGCTCTCAAAACCTAATGTTTCCCTCTATTTTTGGGTTTCACTTGGCTAAAGTCGTGAAACCATGTGGGAAACCCAGCAAAACATTGAAAAAAAGACACCTACCATTTGGGGATGGTTTACAGCACCCATAAAAAATGGTGAAATCCTGTGGATGGGCCAGCGAAATCCTGCACCTCCTGGGATGAAAGCCTGTAAATAATGGGATAAACTGGATGTTTACCACATGGGTGCAGAATTTCGCAACCACCCACTGTACGAAATTGATTGAAATTGGCTTTACCATGGTTTACTGCTGTTGATTGGGTTATTCAATTGGGGCTAGATCCTGAGCAGATCGGTGCCGCTGACAGCATTGGAAAAAGCATGTCCAACGGATGCTTGGGCGGTGGTCCATCCAAAAGTGTTAACGATGCCCCCCAAAAAAAAGCAGCTGGACATCATGATATTCATAAGGCTTAGGACTTAAAAAAAAAACATCAAACAGAATCAAACATATGGGAATATATGGGATATAGTTGATGACTGGTGGTTTTTCTTGGTAAAGATTTTTGGTGAGGCCCCCGTACCTTTTTTCGCGACAGCGACAGCAGGATTTTTCTGTTGGGTTTGTTGGGAGATGGGGATGGGTCAAAACCCACCTTTCGTGAACATCAAATAGGTTGCAAATAGACCTTCCAGGTGGTGCCCCATAGTTAGCTAAGTTGGTTTATAAGTCCCATAACTATGGTTTATGGCAGATATAACTATAGTTAATGGGGTTTATAAACCCACTTATAACTGGGGGGCACCATCCTGATTCATCCATGTTTGTGGGTTTATAAAGCCCATGAAGACTAGAATTATATGGGGATGCGACCAGGGAGACCTTTTTTTCAACAAGGCCTACAGACGTTTTCTTCGAAGATGCAGGAAACGCAAGGATGAGGTTAAGCTCTCGCCGGCCGGACCTACGGGTCAATCCAGTACCTTACCATCCTCGGTCTGGTGTCCCAATTCACTGCAGAAAGTGAGCCGATCTGCCTCTACCTATGTTTAAGGCGATTATGGGATCAGTACTCCCAGAAAAAAATGGTAAAATGGGGGTTTCAGGGCGTGTATGTTGGTATGTTGCTTGTTATGATTTTGTGTTGGGGTTCAATGTTTCATCCTTGGTTTTGATGATTTTTCAGGTGGGGTTTTGGGGGTCATTTTGATGCTAAAGTGATGTGTCAATGTTTGGTTCAGATGAGGGTAGGATTTGTTTAGGTTGTTGGGGTTTGTGTTTTGGTTCAGATGAGGGAGATACTGTGGATAGTGTACTTGTGGTTGTCGTTTTTTATTGTCAAGGTATGTCTTGTCTTTTTTTGGGTATGATTTTATTGTGTTTCCTTATCATCAGTTTCAAGACAGAACATTCAACTTGATATCTTTCAAAAGGTTCCATGTCTTTCAACATCTTTCATTTTTTATTCTCTCATTCTCGTCTTTTTTGGTGGCGTTTTTTTCTTGGTTGTGTTTTGATTTGAACGTCTTTCGCTTCGCCTCATTTTTTGCGGACTTCTTCATGGACTTTCTGGATTTCGTCGGGGGCGCCCAGATGAGATGTGCGCGCTGTTTCGTTTGCATGGAAGCATCACTTTTGAGGACATATTGCGTTTCTTGAGGCACTATGTACACTCTATGTACACATTGTGGCATTACACTACACCCAGAGATGTTGATTGCTTTCTCCCGCAGCAGACAGGCTCACAAATGCTCACAAGATAAGATGAGTTCTACTTGCGGCATGTGTTGCACTATGAACAAGTCAACGCATCAAGAAATCGTAAAGTGCTTGAGCTCCAGCACAGTCCCAGTTCTGGAGATTTCCGCCATGGGTATGTCGCGTTGCCTCATTGCCCGATGTTGTGGTTTTCGGCTTCTCATGTCAGGCCGACGAAACCACCGTTGCTTCTCAAACAACAACGCTCCAGAGAAGGAGCCGACCACGAAACAGCAGATTGGAAAGTGGTTGGTTGGTGGTGGTGGCTTGTTGGCCATCGTGACCTTTGGATGGGATATGTGGCGGCATCGTCAAGAACAAGAACCGCATCGTCAAGAACAAGAGCGAGTGAAGAATATCATTGTGAATGCCTCTTTCAAAGCACGCGAGCCACGTGTCAAGATTGAACGGAAGATAATCAAGGCGTCCAAGCACCACCTTTTTTTTTGTTGTGTTTGTCCCTGCGTTTCTTGACAGAAGGGATTTGTTCTTGAGATAGGTGTTATTTCATGTCATACTGACATTTTGAATTTGATGCACTATGCTCACTATGCACTGTGGCAGGACGAAATGCACCAGTTGTTGGACTTGGACGACCCCCGCCCAATCCTCATCTGGGGGAACCATGAAGTTGGCAAGAGCACCATCCTTTGGGAAGTGTTGCAGGAGAAACAGTGGAACAATGGAGTGCTCCACATCAAGCTCACGCAGAACAATCACTTGGCCACGGAAAAGGTGATGAGCGCGTTGGCAGTGCTCCATGAAGAGGAGGTGGTGCGTGGTTTGAGAGGTGCCAAGACAAGAATGGGACGAAAACCCATCATCATCCTTGAAGTTCCTCGTGGTGTCTTCGAGCCATCTGTGATGAGCAGCGTCTCCGCCTTTGCGAAGTCATGGGGCTTTGATGACGAGGTTGCCAAAGTGCTGGTGATGGTCAGTTCTGCAGTGTCAGCCATGGCTTTTGACGCAGACGGTCGTGAGCGCCGATTCTTCGTTCCACCACTGACGAGTGAAGAGCTCTCGCAGAAGGAGGCCATAATGAAGAGCTTCAGTTCATGTGGTAATTGTTCAGTCACCTTCAATCACTTTAGTGCTTTTTGTTGGTGCTACTTCTGGCATGGGTTGGGATGTTTGCAGATGGACGTCTCCTTGTCAGGTTGAGGAATTCCTACGTCATCATGGCGGTGAAGAGGCCTCCACGCACAAGAGCGACATGATTCAACTCACAGGTGGCAACATCGGTGTAATGGAGGACAAGGGTCATGAAACCATGGGACAACAACCCGAAACATCAACGAACCGTGAAACCTTGAAACTTGCCCACATCTCCTGCAGGACGTGGCGCAAAATGCCAAAGAGACATCATGGGAAGAAGCAAAGTCCAAACGGCTTGCGGTGCAAAGAAGTCAGGTCCAGAACTTCTTGGGCATTGACAACCAAGGTGGCTTTGGCCCAGAAAAGGTGAGGATGGCACGCACCTTGGCCAAGGCCGTGGCGCATAGCTCCTTCGAGCAGTGTGTTGATGCTGAGAGGTTCAGGGAGCACTTCACGCCTGCGCACATGGCCGCAGCGGTGCGGCGACAAGGAGCTCATTGCATCTATGTGGATGCGCGGGCAGAGGAGCGACGCTACTGCGCAGTGTCCCGCACAGTGCATGACCTTTTGAAGAAGGTCTGAAGGCGGAAGTGGCAGTGGCGTGTGAATGAGAGTGCTTTGTTCCTTGTAGGACCAGTAGGACTTTTGGATTGCAGGTCGGGTGCAATCCGTTATGCACTGAAGGTGCCATGCGTGATTCATGGATGGTGCAATCCGCATTGCGTCCAACCAGACTGGCAAAACACAGAAAGGTGATGATTTTTATTGGGGTTGCACCTATGGTCACCGACAGAATTATGGAAAAAAATAAAACGTTCAACTTAGACAGGCGGCGCCTGCGTCCGATTTTTCCATAATTGGATTTTTCCCCATAAGGGTTCAAAATATTTCGGAAGTGATCCGAACCTTTTTTTTTTCTCCATAATTCTTGGAGGTGGCCATTATTTCCATAATTGATTTTTCCTGTGAAATCAGGGGGCTAGGGCAGATTGACCGTTTTTTCCATAATTATGTTTTCCATAATTAATGTTTGGGGCTCCACCTGTTGGACATGTCATGGATCCACAATTCAAACCCTTTTTTTGGGGGGGGGTTATGGAAATATGTATGCAAATGCAAGTATGTAGTATCAACCCAATTGGTGGCTTGGCAAAAGGAAACATCCAGATATTATGTATATCAATGGCAGGTATATCAATGGCAGGCTTTAGGGGCATATACCAGATCTTTCGACACATATTTTCTATAGTTCAATATTCCCCCTTAAAACGCATTCAAATTGCGAACATCACATGATATTATGTATATCAATGGAAGACTTAGGGGCATATACCAGATCTTTAGACACATATTTTCTATAATTCAATATTCCCCCTTAAAATGCAATCAAATTGCGAATCGATGGACATGCAGTCACCGACAGAATTATGGAAACAAAAATAATTATGGAAACAATAATTATGGAAAAAGAAAAGGTTCGCAACTTTTCTATCATAGACAGGCG